ATTTTTTGACACACTTGTTCCCATTGCCTGAAAATTGCATTGCACATCATCATTTTTTAGCTTACATCTAGCTGACTTTTTTTGTCCATTTTCTTCTTCAAACTCAAATATATTTTCCAGATCATTTTTCAAAAAGCGACTATCGATTATAGGTGATTGACACAAATTTTGGTTAGAAGTCATATCCGGACCTAATTTAATTTTAATTAAAAATTTAAATTTTGTTAAGAAGTAATGTATTGCTTTTTAAATTAAAAATTATATTATTTAAAAAATTCTCATAAGAATCTTACCTTTGATGTGCGATTACGAATTTACGATTGCAGAAAAAAAGATTAGTGAAAAAGTCAACTAGTGTTTACAAATGGCGTATAAAAGGAAGCCATTGCTTTGCTATGAAAGATTCTAAATATCATAACAAAAAAAATTTTTTGAGTTGAACTAAAAGATACAAAATATTAAAAAATAATATTTTTTTTATTTTTTAACTAAATATTTTTTTTTATTATTGGAGCATGGAGCACTTAAAATTTGTGTGCTCCGGCTCCGCTCACGCTCCGACCAGAATATGGTTGCTCCGATTGCTCCGCGCTCCAGCTCCAGCTCCACTCCAAAGCCCTGGTTAAAAGTATTCTATAACTATAACTACAAATATTTTATAAGCATTTTAATGAGAATTGTGTAACAATCATTATAAGCTGTCACGTAGAATACTACTACTACTACTACTACTACTACTACTACTACTACTACTACTACTACTACTACTACTACTACTACTACTACTACTGATCATAATAATAATAATAAATATAAATGTCATTAAGAATATCAATCATAATAACATTAATAATATTGATAGTAAAAATAATAATAATTACATTAATAGTAATACTACTACTACAACAACAACTTCTACTACTACTACGACTACTACTACTACTACTACTATAACCACTACTACAACTACTATTACTACTACAACAACAACAACAAATGCTACTACAACTACTAGCAACATTTGAGAAGTTAGAAAAATCATAGACGAGCAGACAATGGCAGATGTGCAACATAAAGCAACATAACCGCTTTTATCGCATGAAAGAAATGAAGTTAGCCTAACGACCTGGTCTAAATTTCTGTTGCACGTTGCAGATTGTGCAAAAGTGAATTGTTCAAAACGTAATTGCAACGTATAGATGGTCAGATTGTGGTCTATTGCTCTCGTAAAATCTGCTCCCATTGAAACAATTTCACTCTCGTCAGAATTTATTCGAAATATATTTAAGCTTTTTGTTTAAAACTAAAAAAGTTTCTCACTACGTTGTATACCTCTGGGTAATTTTGCACACCATTTGCCCTATTCAGTACAAACTACTAGCTTTTGTCGTAATGACATCTGCGCATTAATTTGTGGCCACGCACCTCTTTCCTTGTGTGTATGCAGGAATACTCAAATGGGCAGAATTAAGACTAAACTATTTCAGGCTTTGCACCACGCCCACTTGTTTCTGCGCATGCCAAGTGGCCATTCCAGATGGGCAAAGAAAGCAAGGTTGTCCTCTCTCCTTTACCCAGCTCCTCTGAAAGACAACAAAATTGTTGAAAATTACACCCGTCGATAAATAACATTGTAAACTTCAAACATTATGAAGCATTCCTGAAAATCATGCACTCACCATGCTACGTTGTTATGGCTTGGAAGCTTTATAAATGCTTCTAAATACATTCATTAATTTTATGATTGTTAAAATTAAACTCTTTCAAATTCAAATCATAAAATTTCAGAAATAGTTTTTCATCAAACTTAATTTTTTTAATTTGCAGTTGATCTTATGTGATTTTTTCATTTTTGTTTGAACGTTAAACCAGCAATTGAAATCATTTGGATGATTTGGATGGAAGTTTTGAAATTTATTTTTAAACAACCAATTTGTATTTTATTTATTTGCTTATAGAATCAAAAAATTAACGCTACTGATTGCTAACAAAAAGATTTTAAATGTAACCAAAAAAATATATAATGACGTCTAAGGACCGAGATAAGCAATGATGAGGAAATTCAAAATGTGTTACTAACTTTTAATACAGAAAAAAATTCAACGGCTCGAAAATGTGGGACACATTAAAAGTTACAACAGGACTAACGCGGTGATGAACAGTCATTTCTCAAAACTATCGTTGTTGTGCAAATAAGAGAGGGTAGGGCAGAACATCGCCATCATCGCCAAAAACCGCCCAAACATTTATTTCATTTGTATTTGTTTACTTTGTTTTTAATAAAAAATTTTTATGATCATTTTAATTGCACATCAAACCAATATTCAATAAAAGATTCTTGAACAAATACAGAAACAAATAAAAATAAATTATTCAAAAAAAATTGTGAATAAATAAAAAATTTATTAAACCTACTTCTTTTACTTCCATTCTTAAACAAAACTCAAACAATAATTTTTTCACAAAAATTAAAATAAAAAAAATGAACAAAGGTAATGTTTCGACGCTGAGAGAGGCCACTGGCAACCTTCAACTGGATGCATGGGCAGATCAGATGATGTCCCGTGTAACCTTAAACATTGCCACCAGCAGCATCAATCAGCATTAGCTGCTCTGTCTTGAAAACATGTACAACGAATCAGCAACTCTCCCATCCCGTCAGCACATCTTCTAAATTTGGAAAAATCACCAAAGCCGATGTTTAACAAATTTCCCATCATGCCGTTGTTTTGTAACTGATTGCATTCAGTGGCACTTCATTAAGACTTCATCATTCACTCAGTTTAGTCTACCCTTGTTTCTTATCGAACTACAACAACACAACTACACTACTAGACAACTACAGTATAAAATCACCAACGACACATCCTTGTTCCTACTATGTTACTAACTTGTCTATTAATAAATTATTTCATTTATTTGTTTTTTTAAACCATTATCTGATTATATTTTCCATATTTTCATGTTTAAACATTTTTCTCTCCGTTATTTATTTTTCGTTATTATTTAATACCATTGCCTTACACGCTTTAACAGTTTCTGCCTTTGACAGATTCTGATTTTTTAAAGAATAATAAGAATAAAAAAATTTTTAAATTTAAGATGCATCAACACATTAAGGAATATTATTGCGAGTTTTGTGAAAAACTAAACAAGCAACATCACTTACGTCAATAGAATCAGAAAATAGCAGCATACAAAAGTTATGAAAGCCTGCGTTCAACGTAAAATATATTCATTACTATGTAAAAACTTGAAAAATAAATTTCATAACACAAGAAGAAAGAGACAATAACTTGCATAAAACATACAAAAAATACGAAAACAAATATACAAACAAACAAACAAACACACACAAACAAACAAACGAACGAACGAACAAACAAACAAACAAACAAACAAACAAACAAACAAACAAACAAACAAACGAACGAACAAACAAACAACTACTACAGACCTTTAAAAAAATATCATCAATAACAAAAACTGGAACTTCACAAACAGTCCGATAAACAACAACCCAACCAACGTCAACTCAATAATCAAGCCTCGAAATACATAAATTGAAACTTCGTGAACAACAAACAACGCTGCAAAACAACACAACTACACCACTAGACCAATACACAGCTACAGTATAAAATCACCAACGACACATCCTTAACCACAAACAACAGCAAACAACAACAACCACAAACTACAACAACAAACAACAACATCGAATCAATTACAATACGTCAGCAGATTTGCACAAGCGTCGGCATCTGCAAATAATCAACATCGATAAATCCAACTACGAAATTTGTTTCCGCGACATTAAACAACAACAGCACACTACAACAACAACCACAGCATCAACAACAACAACAGCACACAACAACAACAACCACAGCACACAACAACAACAACAACAACAACAGCAACAACAACAACAACCACAGCATCAACAACAACAACAACCTCAAAAACAACCACATCATCATCAACAACAACACAACATTAGCATCAAAAACAACAACAGCAACATCAACACCAACGGCAACAACAAAAGCAACAACAACAACAGGACAAAACAGGTACAAGTATAAAACACTACGCGTGATCACAGTGGTGCAATATCAATCAAAGTTAATATCATGAAGAGCATACCTGTCAATCTCCTCTATCATCATCACCATCAACATTATTATCATTATCACCATTATCACAATTATTATTATTATTATTATTATTATTATTATCATGACCATCATCATCGCCGTTGTTATATCAGCATTGTTGAACTCAATTAATCATCATTGTCATCATCGTCATCATCACTATCATCCTCATAATCATCGTCGTCATTGTCATCATCATTTTCCTCCTCCTCCTCACCACCCCCCCCCATAACACCACCCCTATCACCATCACCACCATCACAACCACCATCAATACCATTATTATTATTATTATAATTTTCATCATCATCATAGTCATCATCATCACGTCACCACCACCCCCACTCACTTTCATCCAGGTGATGTTCGGCTTGGGGTCACCACGCGCCTCACACGCTAGCGTCACTGACTGCGTCGGCTGCCGCTGGTTAATAAACTTTGGCCGCATCATGAAGGCAGGTGGTTCTGGTTGGAGGTCATTTTAAGGTCATTCGAAGGTCATTTAAAGGTCATTTGAAGGTCATTTAAAGGTCATTTGAAAGTCATTTAAAATCTTTTTGAAGGTTTTTTGCAAGACATTTGAAAGATTATTGTCCATTGGATTAGTTTTATTTATTATCTATTTGTTGGTTCATTTGAAGCATATCAAATAATTAACTTGACATTTAATTTTGTGATTCAACCATTTAAGAAAAATCACCTGAGAGAGTGATTTGTTTAATAAATTCACGCGTGTTTTAATGATAATAATTCTCACCAGTGCCATATCAAACAGAATATATGATTACTTATGTGCGAATGACTTATTTCCTCCAGAACAAAAAAGGATGCAAAAAGTCTTCTAGGAGATGTAAAGATCAGTTATTGGTGAACATGGCAGTAATTCGATCAGCACTTGAAGGCAAAAAAAATTTAAGCATAGCATGGATTGATTATAGAAAGGCATTTGACAGTGTCCCACACTCATGGATTAAGGAAGTTATGGTCATTCACAAAATCCCCAGAGAGGTTAGACAATTTAATTGAATATTCGATGTCTAAATGGAAAACTAGAGTGTGCCTTTGCTGTGACCAGAGTGTGATGTTGACGGAGACTATAGAAATCAAAAGAGGAATCATCTAAGGAGACTCTCTCTCACTGTTGCTGTTTTGTATGTCTCTGTTCTCACTGGCTCATCTCTTCAGCCAGCCGAAGTTGGGGTATGCAATATATGATCAGTGTATAAGTCGTCTACTCTATATGGACAATTTGAAGCTCTTTATGCCAAACGATGATCAACTTGAAAAAGCGCTAACGATATTAACGCAGCTACACCTCTAAAGTGAATATCCTGATCAACATTTATGCCGCTGCTTCACACCACCGTAGCTCTTCTAATAATCAGAGTAGCACACTTGTCTTATCCAAATTTTATTTGTATATAACGACTGCAAGCTATGTCCACTGGGTGATATGTAGACAGGTTGGATTAGAGACATGTGTAGAATATTATAAACATGAACCGAAGAATGTAACAAGCTATGTCAATGGTCAAATTTTATGGGACACGCCAGTTATAACAGATAGAAGTAAACAGACCAGGTATCATTGTCCAAGATATAAACTAAGAAATATGCCTATTGATAGATATATCTGCTTCAGACGATTTACATGTTTTGCAGAAAGAGACCGAAAAGATATGCAAGTACAAAAACCTTCAAATCGAGATACAAAGAATGCGGAACTTGAAAGCAAAAGTTATTCCGATAGTAGTGGGAGCACTGGGAGTAGTCTCTAAAAATTTAGAAAAAACTTTAAAATAATTTCCGGAAAAACCAGCTCTGACCGAAGTTCAAAAAATAACATTATTAGGAACAACGAAAAATGATCGGAAGAATCTCTTTGGGATCTAGTTGAACTCCGGATTCGTCAATGACCAGCTTTAAAAACCAAGCTGTGAAAACTGGGATAATAATAATAATAATAATAACGATAATAATAATATTAATAATAATAAATTTCAAACTTTTTAAAGAAAATATTTCTGTGGAAGTGGAAACAAAGAAAAAGTGCCTGATGGAGCGAGAGAATAGTGAATGCAATGCAGGTGTGTCCGCAATTTACAACAGGAGGTAATTTTTCAAAACTTCAGAACAAGTGGAATGTCGCCATCGCTACGAATTCGGGTCTAAAGAAATGCTGAGAGAAATTTAATAGTTCTACATCTATCAATTTTATTTTATCCCTGCTCCTAAGATATACATCATCATCGTCGTCATCATCGTCATCATCATCATCATCATCATCATCATCATCACCGTTTTCATCATCATCCTCCTCATCATCATCACCATCATCATCTTGTGTGTTTGCCAAAGTTTAATTTTATATATATTGCAACCGTATATTTTAATGTATTAATATTTAAATATTTTTATATTTTTTACTTTAATTATTTTATATTTTAATAATTATATTTTATTATTTTAATATTTCAACAGTTTGATATTTTAATATTTTATTCTTTTAATATTTTAACCAGCATAAAATACATGTAATGTCCCTCCTCCCAATAAGCAACAACAAACAACACCCGCCAATCCACCCCAAAAAGATTCACCCCATCCAGATAAGCTGACCTCTGACGAGGACTTGCATAGAACTCGAAATATGTCCTTGACCTAGGTTGGAGTGTGGGGCACACATGTAGAAGCCCTCGTCCTCCATAGAGGTCGTGTCGAAGTAGAGGGACGTTCCAACTGCGTGCATGTGCACCTGTCTTGGGTTGTGCAGGTCGATGGTGCTGTTGTTCTTGAACCATCTACAACGTTTCATCATTAATTAATTAATTTATTTTTTATTTACTTATTTATTTATTTTTCATTTATTTATTTTTCATTTATTTATTTTTTTATTTATCACTCTCTTCAACATGTTTCAGATGCAAATTTATACTTTCATTTAATTTTTATGGTCTTTTTGGTTCATAGTTTGTTTTCATTTAATACATCATATATATATATATATATATATATATATATATATATATATATAATAAAATCTTAATTAATTAACATAATTGGTTTAAACGTCAAGTTTTCAAATTTTCCAAATTTAATCAATCTTAAAAATTTCTAATCGTTGTTTTATTTTTAATACTCAATTAAAATTATTTTCTTGAAAATATTTTGTCATATCGGAAGGATGCACGAAACTGGAAATCTTGAAAACGCTTTCAAAATCCGGCTAAGTTATTTAATTAAGATTCTCATTTTCATCACTCTTAAGCCCATGTAAGAAGCAGTTCGAAATTTAAAAAGCTTCTCTTATTTCTTGGAAGTTTAAATATTTTAATGCCATCAAATGATTTAACGACCCACTTCATGGTAAACAAACCTGACGACTGAACCAAGTCATACAGTATCTTGAATGAATGGAACGCCACAAAAACCCGTCAACAACTACAAACACACACACAACAGAACAGCAGTATTCAGCCAGTTGGCTCGAGGCGCTGAAAGTTCCCGTGTTTGATGTTTTACGAAATAATGCTACTGTTATCTTCTCCAAATGCTCTCATAATCATCGTGAAACTTTGAGGCAAAGTTGTACAAAAGTTATCCACCTCATCATAAATATATCCTCTAAAATGACGCCTTCATTAAACATATAACAAATCCCAATGGCCGTAACATTCTTTGTTAACAGCATTGTTCTTTACATTGCACGTGCTACACAAATACATAGAGGAACAACCGAGTAACTCTCAACATAACAAGCAAACTCACTTGACTATAAAAATAAAAACAAATGTATGAAACAAAATGCAACAACATCAACAGCATCCAAAAAACATAGAGTCAATAACATCAACAACATCAACCATCCATCACATACATATTCACCAAAAACGTCCAAAAAACTCCAATCAAACAACTGAATCGGCCAACACTTGCATAGACAGACCAGAAACATTAGCACAATTGATAGGTCGTGTGCTAATTGCCAGCATTAACAATCCGACATATGACCTCGGGTGACCTCAAATGACCTCACGTACTTTTTCAGCTGCCTTATTTGGATCTTAGCTGTGAAATAATGAACTTGAGCGTGTCTAATGAATGTTACTTTACGACTTTCATTGCCCTCTCCTGGTCGTCTGATGGTTAACATTAAGCTGATATGTTTCCAGCCCTATAAATTTTGCGTTCAGGTTTCCTGCAGTTATTTTGGCCATCTCATGAGCCCATGTTTTTTAGAGGTACCCAAGAAGAAAAGCTTTATAGCATTTCATTGAAAAAAATAATTGAATGTATTTTCAATTGACAACTTAATCAAAATTTAGTAAAAAAATAATTTTTTCCATCTCATAAACTTTCGCATTTTTGAAAATTAACATGAAAATCATCGAATGAAAGAAATTCCAACGTAACTTACGTGATGTGAGTGACGGGTGGGTTGGAATCAACGGGGCAGTGTAGGAAGCCCTTCATGTCCAGGGCAAGGTAGGTCGTTGAGGGCAGTCGCTGGACGCGTGGAATGTCTGTTGCCACAATACGTCAACAACATCCAACAACACATTCAACAACATCCAACAACACATCCAACAACACATTCAGCAACATCAAACAACACATTCAACAACATTCGACAACACATTCAACAACATCTAACAACACATTCAACATCATCCAGCAACACATTCACCAACATCCGATAACACATTCAGCAACATCCAACAACACATTCAGCAACATCCAACAACACAAACAACAACATCCAACAACACAGTCAACAACATTCAGGAAATAAATGTCATGGAGGTGCATCAAACACCGCGTATAAAATTCCTTCAACGTTCAATTGGAAGTAAAAATGAAACAACAATCGCAACAGAAACAAATCAAGACTGAAAGAAATGCTAACCAAATTAAGAAAATATGAAAAATAAATGGAGAATATGGAATAACACAATCTTTACACTTGGAGAAAACATTTCGCTGCATAGAAAAGAGTTGATTTAGCATCTCAAAGATGCTGCAAATCAGCTCAGTGCCATTCTACTCGCTACAACTCGCACACTGGAATAAATTTCGTATAAGGAAAAAATTTAAATAAAAAATCATAAATTTCTCGCGCCCGCAGCCCACTCACTCTCAAAACACAAAAATAAACGCCTAGAAAAAAATGTTTGAAGCGCTTTAAAAACAAAAACATCACCAGCAACAAAACGAACTAAAAGGTCGACAGCAATAACAACAACAACAACAACAACATCAACATCAACAACAATAACAACGTCAACAACATCGACATCAACAACATCAACATCAACAACAACAAAACAACGTCAACATCAACAACAACATCAAACAACAACATCAAACAACAACAACAACAACAACATCAACAACAGCAACAACATCAAACAACAACAACAATAACGACGGGACCAACATGTAACATTAAGGAAGGCCTTGGCATCGGGTGACTTGTGGAAGTTGTTGGTGGGTGCGCAGGTGTACCAGGCCATGTCGGTCCTGATCACGTGGTTGATGGAGAGGGAGCCGTCGGGCTGGACGTGCAGGCGCTCCTTCAGGGAGGTCAAGATGTTCAGGTTCGTGCCGTTGATGAACCATCTGGTCAGTTAAAAGGGGTGGTGGTGGTGGCGTTGGTGGTGGTGTTGGTGGTGGTGGAGGTGAATAAATTGGCGATGGTAGTGATGATGATGATGGTGAATGGAGTGGGGATAGTTATGTATGAAATGAGGTTGAATACAGAGATGATGATAGTGATGACTACAGTGATGATGATGATGGTTGAATGAAGTGATGATGAAGAATAAAACGATGTTGACGATGAATAGGCCGATGTTACTCTCAGGAAGATGATGATGATGATGATGATGATGAGGATGATGATGACGGTGATGATGATGATGATGATAAAATGATAAGAATGGTGATGATGATGACGTCAACAATCCGGCTATTGAAAACTTACCATGACGAATGTGACTACGAAAAGAAATTTTCAATAATGAAAGGTAATAATAATAATGATAATGATGATGAGGATAATGATGATTAAAAATGATAATGAATTAAAATTATAATGATGATGATTGACTCAACACAGACGTACAAAAATCTAATGATGATTATTAATTTTATATGCTGATGATAAAGATGGTGATGATAGTAATGATGATGATAGTGATGATAGAATGATGATGATGGTGGTGATGGTAGTAATGATGATGATGGTGATTGATGATGATGGTGATGATGATGGTGATTATAGATAATGATGGTGACGATGACGATGATGATGGTGATGATGATGGTGATGGTGATTGCACTGAAGATGCTCATTTGATTACATTGTCGTTTTGATAGCTGCCCCGAAGAGTGTATTTATTAATTTTTTCTGTTTTGTGTGTTTCTGTTCCAACATTTTTTTTATGCCATTTTGGATCTTGCAGATTGCAAAAACTTGTTGACGGAAAGGAGCGCCTAGGAAAAATTACGTAATTGTGGGTCTGAAAGTCAGCCTGCAAAAGTTAATCACTACTTGCAGCTGTCTGTTTATGAGGTGAGGATGTCGTCATCATGTTCACGTGACACATTTTCTCAATCATTTCCGCAATTTATTCCAATCAAATTAATTTCTTGCATTTTTGATCAGAAGAATTGTAAACTTAAAAAAAACGTTCGCGAATAGTGGACTGCATAAAGTCTGGGATATTGTTCACGAGCAACGCAGCTTAAAACCAAATGCACTTGCAATATTCCAGTGCTAAACAAAATTATTATCAAGAGTTTTCGCTTATCTGAACGTCTTTCAAAGGATCTTGGCGCCGTCGTCACAGAGAAAAATTGCTTTTTAAATTGAATTTTTTTTATATTAAGTTCAGAATACTTTTTCCATCTTTAGAATAATGCACGTGAGGTTTTTGGATTGAATTCAAATTTCAAATCAAAATGATGTTTGTGGATGAGAATGTCAACATGAGAAATAATTTTTTAATAGTTTTATGGTGCTTAATAATAAGTTTCACGCTGCACGCTGAATTTGAATCAGCCATTATCTCCAACCCACCATGCAACCATGCAACATGCAACCATGCAGCATGCAACCATGCACTACTTCAATAATTCCCAACCAACATTCAATTCATAATCATTCAATGTTAAGTACGTACATGTATATGTATATATATATATATATATATATATATATATATATATAGAAGATAAACCGGTTATTAGGACCCGAGAATGCTTTGAAGGAAGTTGAGCGGGAAGACAAACATGGAAGGAAGCAGAGCGTAATTTATGAACGCCATCTCCTGGCTGTTTTTTGAAAAAAAGTTTTTTTTAAGTACAGAAAGCTTTAAATTTAAAAACGATCCCAACTCTAAAATTTTTATTGAAATTGTTTGAGAAATATAAACACACCCCGCGTGGAATCACAATAGCAATTATAATAACGATTTAAAATACATTTCAACAGGCAAATTTCAAATATCCATTTTTTCTCGCTGAATCGTTTAGTTCATTTAATTGCACTGTAGACTCACTCTGTGCTAGATTTAGTTGATATATTCTTGAATTTGAACCAATTTAAATCAAGTCATAAAAAATTTCATCATCAAACATCAAATAGTTGTTGTTTTATTATTATCTATATTATATATTAAATAATTATTAATAATAAGAGCAAGCTGAGATATTAATTTTAATTGTTCATGTAATCTGAGAATATTAAATATCTTATAAGTTTGTATTGTAGGAATTTAGTAGCAAAAAAGTTTAAACTAAGTCACTTTAAATAAAATATTCTTGAAATTATTCTCTGCGACAAAAGTTTCGAGAATTTTCTCTGATGGAGAAAGATAATTGATGATGGATTGAATGGCGACGGTCGGTTGGCTGGTTGCCTCACCTTCTCAACAGATTACATCATCGGCTACTTGCTTTTTGTTTCAAATTCAATTTTAACATTTTTTTTTCGAAATGTCGTTTTTATTTCCGATGTTACTCTTACAATGAGAATGCTGAACTTCTACCAAGCGAATAATTTATGACATTAAAGAAGCAGAATCTTTTATTCCTTTGTTTTGATTATATTCTCATTGTTTCATTTACATGACACTTCTACAAATATTTCATTTTAATTTGTTTATCTCCGGCCAGCAAAAAGCAAGAGTATACATTGTATGTTACGTTAGCCAGTTGAATGCCTCAAATAAAATTATATTATGGGTCAGACTGGCAGTGCGAGAGGTAAGAAATCTCTCCGTCCAATAAATTCATTAGGAGAGCGTCATTCTGAATTTTGTTGTCCATGCGGTTAATTTGATAGATTGGAGGTTGTGCAGCTCCCGCCAGTACATCAGCGTTTGACTGCCTGCTCCTGTCGCTATTGTGGTGTCGCCGTTGTGGTTCAACTCGTGCCAACGTTCTCAGACGTTCGCTGCTGCAGTTTGTTCTTGTCATGGTCTGACTAGTTCTATTGCAAGTTATGTCTGCCTCTGTGTTTTATATCTGCTGGAATGACTTGCTTTTGGATGTTTATGCGTGCGTGCGTGTGTGTGTATGTATAAGTTATGAATTAGTATATATATATATATATATATATATATATATATATATATATATATATGTGTGTGTGTGTGTGTGTGTGTATGTTGTGTGTATATCTGAAAGTTTTAGAAAAAATATTCTATAGATGCATTTGTTAATAAATAATAACTCATAAACACTTATAACGGTCGTCTGTAAACTTCATCAATTATGATTATGAATATAAAAATAGTTGTTCACATCTATCAGTGTTTGTACCTACCATTTGCGTATGTTAATTAATCTAAATGAAGTGTGTGTGGGCCGCCAGTCTATGACAGCATGTATCATTCGTGTGTTTTATAGCTTAGAAGGCATATTCCTGATGATTCAGCTGTTGGTAATCAAAAATGTCTTGAATTCAATTGCTGACTGAATCGCAAATCTTCCAAGAATTGTGTTACAATGTATGAAATCTAATGAAAAATTTGATTGGCATTCATGTGATGCGTTCGAAAATTTAGTTATTGAGTTTTTAATTTTCAAATTTGAAATGAACATGATGGTTCAGCATTTACTTTTTCATTCACCACTTCTTTCAATAGCTTGTAAATAAATGAGAAAGTTTGCTGAACGACCAAACAAGATCAACCAAGGAAGCGAAGAATAACAAAACTTAATAATTCATATTTTACACCATCAAAAATTCACGAACAAATTTTAAGCATAAAATCATTTTTGTTAGATATTTTTGTTTTTTCTGAAAAAGCCCTGAGAAATGCATCGTAAAACCTTTTATAAGCGCACAATAATGTTGTTGCATTAAACCAAGTTTTAGTAAAAGGATTTACTTCCAAAATTTTAAATTTTAAACAAACTTAAAATTTTGTTTTTCACAAGTTGAGATGAAAAAAAATTGCAGCGGAATTTTTTTCTGGAGATATTCCACCCATTTGTGAATAATTGAGATGATGCTACTCGATTTATAAGGGAGCCAATGCAATACATCATGGTACTTTGCAATGTTATAATTTATTCATCGCTTAATGGGGGACTGTTGATAAGAAAACATTTTCCTCTTCATCATCTTCCTCCTCCTCATTAACACCATCATCATCATCGTCATCATCATCATCATCATCATCCATATACGGTTTACTAACAACCTTACGTAAAACGTTATTGTTAATGTTTTCATGTAATTTTATACTACTACTACTACTACTACTACTACTACTACTATTAATACTACTATTTTTACTACTACTAGTACTACTACTAATACTACTACTACTACTACTACTACTACTACTAATACTACTACTACTATTACTACTACTACTACTACTACTACTACTACTATTACTACTACTACTACTACTACTACTACTACTACTACTACTACTACTACTACTACTACGTCAACTACTACAGATATTTTGATATTAACATTGTTGATAATAACAATGAATTAATAATAATATTATTATTATCAAAAATAATATTATTAATAACAATAATATTATTATTTTCATAATTACAGGCGCTTCAAAATTATAATATACAACACAGCCATCACTTGCAAGGACTGTACAATGTGGTCTTATGAATGGCTCTCTGAGACCAGCAACCAGTGCTGCTAGACCACGTAGTTAGACAGCGGAATGCAATCATCACGTTGCAAACAAACGCCAGAATGTAAAAAATCGGTTTAGCCTCATGTCTACTGTTTAAACAATATAGATAACACTATAAACAAGGTAAACACATTAAGCAAGGTCTACAACAACAACAACAACAACAACAACAACAACGACGACACATTTTACATCAGACAACAACAACAACAACACAGTACGTCCCACACCAAACCACACGATACAGCAACATCCACCTCAACCACCACCAACTCAACCACCACCTCCTCATCCACCACCACCTCAACCACCACCTCAACCACCACCACCTCAACCACCACCTCAACCACCACAGCACCAGCAGCCAGCCAGTCACCTGATCGTGAAGTTGTTGGGGTATCCACTGGACGAGCAGCTCAGCTTCACGTTTCTGCCCTCCATGGTGGTTGTGTTCTTTGGTGGGCTGGTGATGTAGGTCGTATCTGATCACGTGCGTTTGCATTTTTATTTAATTTATAAATCAATTATACAAAAATAATGAAAATAAAAACATGGAATCTTGTGCAGGGCGATCAAACATTCAAACGTATTTTTTACATTCTTTATTTAACTTAATGAGATTTGATTACTAATAAAATACTGATTAATGCATTGAATAGTAATAATATTATCATAGCATGGGAGTTATGGCGTTAAGCACTTTCAGAGCAGCACCATCTCATCTCAACGAGGCATTCGCGTGTCTTGTTGCCAGCATCAGATCAATTTGTTCCGAAGTGCATTGTAAGTTTGGCAGTTGTGGTCATCGGAGCATGTCAAGGAAGGAGCCGCGAGGAATGCAAAGGAGTGAGGAGTGCAGAGAACTCACTCGCCTCCTCAGTTGAGCAAATAAATGATATATTAGACACGTCGTACCGTCCCTCATGAATACCAAGCTACTTTCTTCCTCCATTCTTTCTTAAATCAGTGTCAACATTGAAACCACACTCTCCTCATAATTCTTGTTCAACAGCAAAATATTTCTATGATCACCTCGACATGAAAGCAGGAGGCATGCCCATGTTAGCCCTGCACTTGCACACTGATGCAGTTTCATCTCAACATCTGAATAAGCTGACATCAACCTGAACAGTTGGACATATTCACCACAACGTACGTACAAACCAACACAGGCAGGCCTATGTTTTTATGTATACATCTTTTCCGGCCTTAAAATATTATTGCAATATACGCCGACTAAATTGGAAGCAATATCCCATACGTTTTACAGCACCATAACTGCCAACGTGCTCGAATACATTTATGAAATATTTTTTTGAATTACTGAATGTAAATGTTCGCTGTTACTCATTCATGCATTGACAAACGCTGACATAAACATTGCATAACAAAGTACAATTATTATAATTAGTGTCAGTCACTGT